CCCAAGATCCCGAGAGGAGAATGGAGGAGAAGGGATTGCGGCGTGACCATACCCCCTGGGGGGTGATTTCTCGCTTTCTGTCTCTATGTCTCTCTCTGTCTGTCTGGTGAGCACACGCGCCCTATAGCGAAAACCTCTCAAAAAAAAAGAAAAAAAAAATCCATGCCTAGTCTTTTCATAATATGAATTTTCCCATGAGCCTTTGGAGACCCTGGTATGAGAGGGTGAGGACGAAAAACAGCACATTGCTAGTAAGCAGCTCAGTGCGTGGCCCAGGGCCTAGCTCTGGGGCCGGCTACACGGGTGGAACCCTGGCTCTGCCGTCTACTGCTGTGTGAGTTTGGGCAAGTCACGCAATGTCTCTGAGCCTCTGTTTCCTCATCTGGGAGGAGCGGTAATAGTGCCTACCTCCTAGAGTTGCTGCAGGATGCAGTGCTTGGCACACGTAAACACTCTGGAAGTGTTAGCCGTGACCTCTGGGGTGGGGGGAGGATGGCAGGGACTTTGCTGCCCACTTTATTCACATTTGTACTGTCCAAAGCTTTACAGGCAGGTATTTCTTTTATACTAAAAAAAATAAAATAAAATAAGGAACCAGCAGATGGCGTAATGGTTACGTTGCTGGACTAACCTGGCAACTTAAAACTCATGCCAGGCATGTGCGTGCATACCCAGAATCCCAAGAGGAGAATGGAGAAGGGATTGTGGTGTGGTCATCCTCCCTGGGGGGTGATATCTCGCTTTTTTCTTGTCTCTCTGGAGAGTGCATGCGTCCTATAGTAAAAAATCTCTCAAAAAACAAAACAAACAAACAAAACCTCAAAAACTAAGACCAACAGCCGAATATAAAAGTGGTCAAGGTGTAGCAGAGCCAGGCGTCGCTCCCTCCTCTCCCCCACGTCTGTCTCCTACTCACCGTCGGTGAAGAGAGGCTCGGGCAGCTTCCGGAAGAAGGACTTGAGCAGGCTGCTGATCACATTCAGGTCTTGCCAGCGCTGGGGAAGGGGCAGAGATGTCAGGCCACAGGCCGGCACGGCCACGGTCAACACCACACACACCCCTAGCCCAGCCTGTCCCCACTCCAGCCAGCACAGGAGGCTCTCACACTTGCCCATCCTCAGAAAGTACCAGGCGCCTTCTTTGGGCCAGGCCTCGTAGAGGATGGAGCGGGCGGTACCACTCCACACGAGCCTGCCCACTGCACCTCCACTGGGCCTGCAAGTGTCAGCCTCAGCTCCTGCCTCCAAACAGCCCGCAGTGAGCAGTGTCACCCCACTCACCCTCTCTTTAACGCCCAGTCCAAGTACCTGAGATGCAGCAGGTCCTGGCTCCTTCCTGCCTCAGGCCCTTGGCTCCTGGTTCCCTCCACTAGAACCCTCCTTCCCTTGCGCTTCACCTGACTCTTCAGACACGAAAGTGTCACCATCGCGGCTGAACTGGCCCTGCCGTCGCCCTTGGCACCTACCTAACGTGTCCTTATTCTATGCTGTTGTCATCTTGCTCCCTGAGAAACAATTATCTCGCTTCCCACCGAATTCCCACCACCTCGCCGGGACACGCAGCCTGGCGCGTGAGTGCTCTAAGTCAGGGGTTCTCAGCAGAGGCCAGCTTGGCCCCAGCGCAACATCTGGCAAGGTCTGGAGTTGGTGAGGCTTCCACAGCTGGATGTGCCACTCACGTCTACTGGATGGAGGCCTGGGGTGCTGCTCAAGGCCCCCAGGGCACAGAGTGGCCCCCACGACACATGATTATTCTACAAATGTCTGCTGGGCCCGGGTAGAGAAACCCTGGTCTTCAATAAGTTCGTGGACACAGGTATTATGAAAAAAGTATGCATGGATTTGGATTTTATGTTTTGCAACAGAATAGACGTGTTACAACGTGCCTGGACAGGTTTGAGGCACTAAGAAAGAGAAGGTGTTCGTTTGAAAAGGGCCCCTATCAGAGCAACGGGGATTCTGCTAAAACGGAAGCAGGAAGCAAGAACCAACACCGCGTGCGTGGAGAAGCCTGGGTGAAAAGATGGCGAAGTCGCTGGTGCTTTATGAGAAGTTATGGGGACAACGTTCCAGAGAAGCCAGCAGTTTACAGATGGGTAACTCGCTTTAGGGGAGACACGTCAGGTGGAAGATGACGTCTGGAGCAGCAGATCGTCCACATCCATTTGAAAAGAAAGAACAGTCTTGCTCGAGCCCTAACGGAAAAGGACCAAGGAATAGCAGGGACAGTGGCCAACACCACGGGCGTTGTCATCGGCTCAGCCTGCGCGCTTCTGACCGAAAAATTTAAGTTGTGCAAACTTTCTGCCTGGTAGGTGTCAAGCCGTTGCCTCCAGATCAGCTGCCAATGAGAGCAGTCTTCTCACTTTTTCTTTATTAGTATTATTATTTTTAAAAAAATTTGTTAGAGGGCACGTGCACTCACCAAAGAGAAACAGAGAACAGGAAGGGCAAGTGAGAAGTACCCTCCCAGGGGGAATGGCTACACCACAATCCCTTCTCCAGTCTCCTCTTGGGATTTTAACAAAGCACACGTGTCCAGTGTTTTCTGTTTTTTTTTTCTTTCTTTCTTTCTTTTTTTTTTTAGGTTTTTGTCATAGGGCGCATGCATTCATAGAGACAGAGACAGAGAGGAAAAGTGAGAAATCGCGCCCCCTACGGAGGACAGCCATGCCGTGACCCCTTCTCCTCCACCCTCCTCTCAGAGTTCTGGACATGCACACACACATACCCAGTGCAAATTTTAAGCCACCAGGTCAGGGACTCGAACCACAGTCGGCCATGTGGGAGTACAACACCTTAATCACCATGCTGCTGGCTGGCCCAAGAGCAAAGTTCTCAATGAAAAAAAATTTTTTTAGAGAGAGAAATGTTTGCTATAGGGCACATGCGCTCACTGGAGAGACAGAGAGAAAAAAAAAGCAGGAAATCCCCCTCTGGGGGGATGGCCACGCTGCAATCCCTTCTCCATTCTCCTCCTGGGATCTTGGGCACGCACATACACGCACACACCCGGTGTGATTTTCAAGCCACCAGGTCTAGGACTTGAACTGTGCTTGGCCAGGTGGGAGTCAGCAACATGACTGATAGGCCATCTGCTGGCCCCTCTCAGTTCACAATGTAAAAAAGACTGCGGTAACATGGTCAAATTCCCAGGCCCTCAGTTCTTTAGGGATGGACTAAATGGCCCGTACCATCACTTACAGAAGTATCTTAAACTTTATGGAGTTTATCTTGAGAAACAAAGTCTGTTTAAAACATTTTTATCTTTCAAAAAAATTGTTTCGCCATAGGGCACATGTGCTCACTGGAGAGACAGAGAGAGGAAATGAGAAGTCATTCCCCTCCTTTTTCCTCCAGTCTCCTCTCGGGATTTTGGGTACTTACCACGGACTCGGCCATGTGGGATCCAGTGCCTTAGCCATCACACCACCTGCTGGCCCCGCATATGTTTTTGAATCCCATTTCTCCACTAACTTTTTATTTTATTTATCTATTTTTAATAATTATTTTATTTAACTTTACTTATTTATTTTAATTTGACCAGAGAGGGACAGAGTGAGAGAGAGAAAGAGAGAAAGCTAGCCACCAGGTTCAGGACTTGAACCGTGTCGGCCATGTGGGAGTCCAGCACACGACACCAGCCGGCCCCATTTTTCCACTAACTTTTTGAAGTCTCCTTATAAATGGGTGTTAAATAGAAGACTGAATAAAGAACAGTTGGGTCAAGACCAGTAGATGGCGTAATGGTTACATTGCTGGACTCCCACGTAGCAAACCACAGTTCGAGTCTCAGACTCGGAGGCTTAAAATTCACACCAGGCACATGTGCATGTGTGCCCGCCCAAAATCTGAAGGGGAGAATGGAGAAGAGATTGCAGTGTAGCCATCTCCCCTGGGGGGTGATTTCTTGCTTTCTGTCTCTCAGGGAACACAGGGGCACCATAGCAAAAAACCAACCAAACAGCTCTTAAAAAAAAAAAAAATGCTGGGTCCTAGGTCATTGTCCCATCTGTCCACCAGGGGACACCCTCACCCTGCACTGCTGCAAAGTCAGGCACCACCACCTGGCTGGGAATGGCTCAGAAACTCCTACCCAGAAAGCAACCTAATACCCTCAACAGAAAGACACAGCTCACATTTGTTAGGATGAATCCGCAGCTTAATTCCAGACAAACAACACACTCCCCACAGGCCTGACACACAGGACTTAACTTCCAGAGCCCCCACTGCAAACAGCACACCAACACACCCGGCACAGCCCTCTCTGGCCCTGGCTGGGGCCCCAGGCCTACAGCTCTGGCCCCTCTGATGGTAGCTAAGGGGAGCTGCCTGCTTAGCTGCATACCCCACCGCTACCCTACACAGCTGCGGCCCGCCTCACTCCATCACCTTCTGCTCAGCTTCCTGCTACCTAAGACATGGACTAACCTGTGTCCCTCCTGTGTGGCAGTGTCTGCCCTCCCCACTCTGAGCCTGGCCTCTGCCATCCTGCCACTCACCTTCTCCCTGACAGCAGCTCCTTGGACCAGCCTGCCTCCCAGCCTGCCATTACCCCAGTGGGTGAGTAACCATCACCCCAAACCTGACGGGCCTGACCTGACCCATCCCTCTCTGAATCCTCCCAAAGCTCCCTTACTCCCTGGTTCCACCAGGCACAGATGCTGCCAGCCCCCAGCTCAAATAGTTGGCTCTTCCCTGCCCCATCTTCCTCCCTGTCCTGCAGCCAGCTCCTGGAGAAGCTCCCCACCCCCATTTCCCGGGACCACTGGCCCTCCTGACCCTACACCTGTGCCCTAGACGCTGCTCCAGGCCTCCCTCGTTCTTGTCCATTGGGCGCAAGCTGAAGCATTACTCTTTCTCAAACCTACTCACGTTTTGCCTCCCCAGCTTTAAAAATTTTTTTAGATTTTGTTATAGCGTACAGGCACTTGTCAGAGAGAGAGAGAGGGATAAAGTGAGAAATCACTCCCTGTGAGGGATGGCCACACTGCAATCCCTTCTCCTCTAGTCCCCCCTCAGGATTTTGGGCTCGTATGCCCAAGTGCCTGGTACATTTATCAAGTCACTGGGTCTGGGACTTGAACCACACAGTTGGCCATGTAGAATCCAGCTGCCTTAACCACCATGCCACTACCTGGGCCATGCCTTCCCAGTTTAAGAGCCATCAAAAGCTCTCTACTGTCCACTGATCAAAGTCAAAGGTTTCAGTAAAGCCATCAAAAGCCCACTGTCCCCCAGGCCTTATCCTCCCACCTCCAAGCCCTGGAGGTGGGTCTACGCTGTCCCGACCCTCAGACTCTTCCCTGGGATTTTGAAAATGCCACCATCCTGCACCTGGACTGCTTTCCCGTCTACCTGCCCCCTCCTCTCATCCTTAAAGGGCTCGAACAGTCCAGCCCGTACCCTGCTCCTGCCCTCAGGATCTCTCTCATCGATGAAAGATCATCTTCATCTCTTGCCCTGTCTCCCCACTTCCCAGGGACAGGAAGAGGCCTGTATATCGCAGGAGGTGGCTGCACAGCGTGGGCTCGTGAAGGCAAACCCAACATGATAGACAGGGCAAAGCAGGATTGCTTCAGTTCAAGCAAGGATGGGGGGTCCTGGCCTGCCTCCCACAGCCCCTCTGGGGAACCCTGGGCCCTGAGGAACACAGTCTGAGAACGGCTTGCCCTGCTATAAACCCTGACAGTGGTTGTCGGATTCCACCATGAGCTGGTCTCACCTCTCCGGCTCAGCCTCTTCTCTTCCCATGCGGTGGCCATCTAAATTGCTGGCCATTCTAGAAAGTGTCACATAGTCCCCTCCCCTAAGCCAGGGGTCTGCAAACCATGGTCGGTAGGTGAGATACAGCCAGCAGCCTATTTCGTCTGGCCCTTGAGCTAAGTATGGTCTTCGCAGTGTTAAAGGATGTGAAGATGAGGAGGAAGAGGAGGAAGAGGAGGAAGGGGAGGTAGAGAAGGGGCAATGCAACAGAACAAACCAGTCCTAATTATGACTGTCTGGCCCTTCACAGAGAAAGTCTGGAGGCTCTCGGCCAACCTCTGGAGTCTATGCCGTCGTCCAGGCATCCCTCTAGCTGGCTATCACTGGCTTTTACTGAACTGTGTACCCTGGAGGCTCAGAAGACACTGCTGTCTGTGAACCTCACGTCCCCCAGGCCATGACTGCATTTGTCTGTTGGGTCAGACTTGGGGTGACAGCCATCTCGGGGCTGGCTTGCCGGAGCAGGTCCCATCCTGTCTATTTGGTGCTCTGGCTTAAGCCAGATACATCACAGGACATAATGAAGGCCACGTGATGAACCCTAGGACTCCCCCAGCACAGCACCCGGCCACACCCACCTCGTCCTGCAGGTTGATGTCACTGGGCCCACGGTTGAGCTGCTCCTGCAGGCTGGACACCACTGCATTGTTGCCGGGCACTCTGTAGATGCCTGTGGACTCTAGCCCCCGGGCCTCCACAATGCGACAGCAAGCGGCCACAATCAGGGGGACACGCTGGAGACATAGGAAAGGGGGGCATTAGGGGAGGGAGCCAAAAATGGTGGGAGGCCAAGATGGAGACAGTGCAAGGCCCAACACTACTGCCAGGAAGCCCCCTGGGAGTGGGGCACAACTGGCTGTCTCTGGTCTGGCAGACCAGAATACCAAAGCCTTGTCAGGGCTGGAGATGGAGCGGGGCTCCACCCCAACCCTGCTTCCCCTCTTCTGGGAGCCCAGGGTGGGTGGGGGCCCTGCCCTTTCCTGGTCTGTCTCCCACTGTGTCTCTTGAAGCTCTGCCCCTCCGAACTTTGGGCTCCCCCGCCCCGCCTGCTCTGGAGTGCGACAGGGACCCACCTGGTTCTCTGTGGCAGGCTGGCACTCCTCCAGCCGGACCCCAAATGCCCTCGGGGCTGCCTTCTTGTTCTTCTTAATGATGTTGATGCCCCAGGGAGTTTTGGGGGTGGCAGTACTATCATCTGAAGTGAGGGGAGGCAGGGAGAGCCAGGGTGAGTCAAGGAGGGGCGGACCCAGAAGGGTCACATGCACTCACCGCCTCATTCACACACACACACATTAGGACACACCATCGGAGAAAGAGCCAGCATGCCGAGGGCTGACGGGGAAACACCCACAGGGAAGGCCAAGGGGATGAGGGTGAGAAAGGCCTTGGAGTAATGTAAGGACTTCTGTGTGGCCTCAGGGCTAAACTACATGGTCGGAGATTCTAGTACATCCAGGGGAAGGACTTTCTAACCATCTAAAGTTGGTGAAGGTGGAAAGGCCTCCCTTCCCACCCCGGAAGACACAAGCAGAGACTAGAGGAGCACAGAGCAGGGATGTGGAGAGGATCAGGCTCCAGGGCCTTCCACCTGAGACCCCTAGAGCCCCGGACCCTCACAGGCACACACAGGCAGACACAGCAGGTGACCCTGGTGCACGGTCACAGGAACATACATGCAGGTGACCCTGGTACACACTCACAGGCACACACAGGCAGACACAGCAGGGGACCCTGGTGCCCAGTCACAGGAACATACATGCAGGTGACCCTGGTACACACTCACAGGCACACACAGGCAGACACAGCAGGTGACCCTGGTGCACACTCACAGGAACATACATGCAGGTGACTGTGGTATACACTCACAGGCACACACACACACAGGTGACCTGGGTGCATGCCTAGACACACACATAGGTGACCCTGGTGCACACATAGGCACATACACGCAGGTGGCCCTGGTGCACACTCACAGGCATACTCACACAGGTGACCTGGTGCATACTCACAGGCACACACACTCAGGTGACCTGGCACTCATGCATGAGCACAGGCACTCAAGTGACCTGGCGCACACCCGCAGGCACACACACTTGACCTGGCGCACACTCACGAGCACACACACTCAGGTGACCTGGCGCACGCCCGCAGGCATATGCACTCAGGTGACCATGGTGCATGCCCACAGGCGCACGCACACAGGTGATCTGGCACGTGCCCGCAGGCACACACACTCAGGTGACCCGGAGCGCGTCCACGGGCACACCACCCAGGTGACCCTGACATACACTCAAAGCATGCATGCACACATGCAGACCCACAGGTGGCCTGGGCCTCCCGCACACGGCACACTGCCCGCCTCAGCAGCGCTTGCCTACCCTTGCTCCCTGCGGGCTGGTCCTGCGTCCTGAAGCCACGTGCCGCACTCTGCCTAAGGAATTCAGACTTGAGACCCCCTAAGCCACGAGAGCTCTTAGGGGAAGAATCGGCCTTGGGCCCAGAGCTATGGCTGTGGAGGAAAAGGGGGAGAGGAGGTGTCTTCATGTGGGTTGGCCGACATGCCACCCGCCCTGACCTCCCGCCATGTGGGACCTCCCCTTTGTCCTGAGGCAGTTCCTTTAAGCCTATCTGGGGACCAGAAGCCCTCGCTTGGTTCCCCCAGCCTGGAGGTGGGCCAGGAGCATGCGCTCCTCCTGGAGTCCTCCCACCTCCGGAGCTGCGCCATGAGGGCCAGGCCTCACCTCACTTTGCGGTAATCATTAAGCTTCTTGCTGATCAGAGCTTGGTTGGCACAGCCGGGGTCCTGGAGCAGGAAAGGAAAGGGCAGACCACATCAGTGCCCACGCCAGCCTGCACCGGGAGCACCCCTGGCCCCGCCTCAGCCTCGCCACCCCTCTCCACTTCCAGTGGAGAGCACAGATCCTGGAGCAAGAGAGGCCAGGGCTGGACTCCCGGACCCTCACCAGCTGTGTGACCGTGGGTAAGCCACCTAGCCTCTCTGAGCCTCAGTCTCCTAAGCAAGAAACACGGGGAGCTGATAAGGCCCTCTCAGGGTCGGGGTGCAGGATGACACACGCAGCTCTCATCATGGTCCCGGCAGGCACTGGGGCAGCCACTATGATGAAGGGGACTCAGAATCCCTCAAACATGTCCTGCCGGGGACAGCCCAGCCACGCCCCTGGACAGGGGACCCAGATGCCAGTGAGGAAGGATGATGTCCTGGGAGGCAGACAGTCACCAGGAAGGCTGTACTAGTGCCTCCTGACTCTCTTGACCAGAGCAGGCGCCTGCCTGGACAGCCCATGCCCAGGACCCCGCGTAATTGTGTGCTGGTATGTGAAGGCATCTTTGTGCAGGCACCTGGCCAAGGCCAGAGCAGAAGCCCAGCCCAGGCCACTGGAGTGCAGCTGTGGCTGACCAGGAAGGGGGGGGTGCCTTTATTTTTTTCCTTAAATTCTCCCCAAATCCCTGCCAAAGCCATGGATCAACTCTTGCCTGCCTGCTGCCAAAGGCCAAGCCTCTTGGCCTTCTCCCAAGGTCAATGTTCATCCCCCTGCATACAGGCCGCCTGGCACAGCCAGGGCCAGGGGTGCCTCATTCTGCGGTCTGCACCATAGGGGACTTGCCCGCCTTGCCTCCTGCCAGAGGCCAAGGCTGACCCTGCCCCAGGGAGCACACAGCAGCAGTCTTACTCCAGCTATTGCCACTGTGCTTGCCCCAGACGGCTGACGGGAGGTACCCAACCGGCCATGGTCTGCCTGTTTGTGCACACCCTAGCTGAGGCGTGCACCGTGGCAAAGTGTGTCCTTGCTAGCCTGTTTCTAGAAGAGGGAAGTGAGGCTCAGAGAGGCCAGGCCCTCCAGGATCCACAGCAGCCGAGGTCAGCCCTGGCCCTCTGCCCTCCCAGGTCCGGCCGGGGCTGGAGCTGGGGCTGGGGCTGAGCCGGGCCCTCACCTCGCCCTCGGCCCTGCTGTTCTCTCGGATCGCTCTGATCCAGCCCAGCATGTCATCCCGATCCTCAGCCTGAAAGAGATATTCACAGAAGTCAGCGGTGGTCAGCCGGAACACGTGCCTCCTCTTGGTCTCGCTGTAGGAGATGTCCACCAGGCAGGAGCCGATGCAGACGGGCGCCGCCTCGTCCTCACCTGCGCC